CCCACACCTATTTTTTTCTCTATCATCCTATGTAAAAAGAAACTTTTATCAGGCTTAATATATGGTACTAAAATGTCGTTGCCACTACTTTTGGATACCCCTATGCAGTTGCAACCCTTGAAGTCGTTTGTATTTATTCAGGAGGCGCTTGCTTTAAGATCACAGCTGACGATATTAGGACAAAATACCAAAATCTTTAAAAAAGCATATATAGTAGAAACCGAAATAATTGAATAAGAGTTCAATGCCTTTCTTGTGCCCAGAAGCGCAAATTACGTGTATCATTGAATAACTCGTCGAATAAAGTGGAGATTTTCCTCATAGAGTTTTCTGTCTGGATGTGTTGTCAGAAGTAATTGCGAAGCTATATTAACCGCTTTCTGAGAATATTTGTGTGCGTCTGTAAAACGACCCAAGCGCGTAAGAACTATGGCAATATTGTTGTAGGATAGAGCAATCATGGAATGCGTTGATGGAAATATTTGAACTCGAATTTTAAGTGAACGGTGATGCCACAACAATGCGTCCGCATATTGGCCTTGAGCAGCAAGCACGCCTGCAATATTGTTGTAGCTTGTAGCAATCCATTCTTTTTTAGGATGCGTTGAGGCTAAATCTATCTTGAGAGCACGTTGAAAATATTCCTCAGCCATTTTGAGCATTCCTTGATCTTGATATAGTGATCCAAGGTTGTTATAGATCGGACTCAGCGAAGAATCATCTTCTGAAACATGTTGTCGATCGATATTGAGTGCTTGCTGATAATAATCAAGAGCTTTTTCGAGTTCATTTCTTTTGCAGCATATCATTCCTAGACGATTCAATATTCCCGAACGACATCTCCAATCACTCTCTATTTCCAGAGCTTTCATATAGAATTGTTCGTTCCGTTCGTAGTCGCCCATCTCCCACATCAATTTACCCAATTCGATCAATGAATTCCGAGATCGAGTGGTATTATTCAAGTGTTGAGTGAGACTATTTAGCTGAGGATCAGTGTCGTTTGTTAGCCGAAGGTAAATGTACCATATTCCATCGCTGCTCAGTAGCGTTGGGCCAATTCGAAAGACCGTACCCGTCGAGAAGAGCCATTCCTTTTCTTCATTAAAGTTACTGTATTGTTCAATGTTAGCAAATGGGATGTTGCTTTTTATCGCTGGGTCAACTTCGATCACCCAGATCACTGGAGTCTTTTTTGGGTCACCAAAAGCTTTTTGGGCGAAGAGCAATGCAACTTTATGCTTCTCACTCGACGAGAGAAAATTGTTGATACACAGTAAATTACCTCGATTTGTCTGTAATTCTTCAAACTCATGATTTGCCATAGCTTGTCCTCGATAGAGCGTTGTTTTAGAGCTAATACGTGATTTAGCACCGAGTTCGTCGAGTTGTTCATGAAGATGTCGAATGAATACACGCATAGCATAAAGTGTATCAATTGTTTGTTTACGTAAAGCTTTATTGAGCATTTTGTAGAGAAAGCTATCTAATGTGTACCACCAAATAGGTGAGTGATTCGAATAATCTTGTTCGATTGTCAAAATGTCTTCAAGAACATGGGGATTATCAGCGTACTGTTTCCGACAATACTCGATCATGTCCTTCATATCATTTTCTTTCATTCGTCGAAGAATTTGCTGGAACAGTTGAGCGTATATAAAACTTGCTTCTTGTTTGTTACTTGTTTTCGAGGAAATTCCCTTTCCAATTACACTATATCCGATAAGAGTATGTTCACATTGTTTCGTATCTGTTTTCAGTTGATTGCAGATAGATTGGAATTCAGTGAAGATACCTTTTATCTTCCAATAACTCTTTGTCCATTCTTCATCCAGTTCGCTTCGCAGGCTAAATACGTAAATAGAATCGACTTGTGTGAAATCATGAATTTGAGGGAGAATCTGTTGACTGTATCGTTCGCTAACAATGAAAAACACTAAATCATCGTCGATAGAGTCAATATATGCGAGACAACTTGGAATATCATCAAATGTTCTTACTGTGTTAAAGATATGTTTAAGTATGAGTTTGGATTGCATGAGTATGGAAGTTTCGATTGCATCAACATTGTCGATGAGACAGACGGCAAGAATATTCTCCGTATTATTCTCAAGAAGAGGAAGCGGACTACTATGTGTCTCGAGTGAGGATGAATTCACAGATTCGGGAGTCTGACTTAGATCTAATTTGACACTTGAAAAGGATTCACTCCTTTGGCGAGAAGATGATGATGGCGATCGTGGCGGCGATGGTAATTGCTTCTTTTTCGAGGAACTCCCGCCCATTGTCGAGAATGTTCAAAATTATACTGGAGCGTAGATGAAAAGATTGAGCAAATAAAATCTAATGTGAATAAAATTCATATTACAATTGAGGACAATAAATCACAAAATTGAAAAAATGACTTCGAAGTAAACTTCATGAAACTATTTATTGGAATGAATATTTGTTGCGATAGTTCGATAGATAAAGAAATCTTCCGCTAGAATAAGAGAATCTCCGAAATATGCTTGTAAATATTTGATGCCATGACAATCGGAGTTGGTGATATTCAATTCTTTGTATTAGAAAGAGAATAGGACTCATCGCCTATCCGAAAATCTTTCTGGTTTGTTGTATCTCGACTTTGCCGACGGATGCTCGTGTATAATCGATACTATGCAATGACAAGTCACGTGTTTTGGCTCGCTGCCGAAACCTTTTAACACACGTAAGTTTGAACTTAGTAGTTCAAACACAAATAATCCTCCGACCCGAGCAGACCGTAAGAAGCAAGCGATGGGTGCGAGGAGTGGTAGAAAATGTGAAATATATATTTTTTTGTCCGTTCTGTTTCGATTTCAAGCCCCTCGGTAGAGGGCGTGGGTGTGGGTGTGGTCTTGCCTGGGGAAGGGTGTCTGGATGTTGGGTGTGTTGTGCGGGTCTGGGGCTGAGTGTAGGTGGAGCTGTGTGCAGCCACGATATTTGAGCCCACACAAATACCAACTACGATGGATAAGAAAACGAATGCAACAAAGTTTCTGGAAAATCCGCAAGGTATGTCAAGTAGAAATGCATAGACTTCTGAAAAACAATTGATTATTGTATACTATGAATTGACAGAGAAAGATGACATGAAGAAAAGATGAATTAGTCCATTGTTGCCGACGAGAATTTTCGCCAATTCCAACGTCGCTGAATTCCTTGTTTGCTCACTAAGTATATCGCCGGGTATATTTGTAACCAAAAGTTACCGAGTCAAATATGATTCATTCTATATGCGACATTTTATTACAATTAATAAGTTAATTCACCAACTGATCGGTTGCCATCTGCGTTGATAACCATTTGACACGGTAGCTATCTGGCTTGGTAGCCATCTCAGTTGATGACCATGAAGTGGGTGTGAGTATCATGCTTATCTTCTCTAACATACGCAGGACACCCATACCGGGACACACACTTATACCCATGCCTAATACCGATTCCACCGTCATGTTTCCACAGTTCACACTCTGATAACCAACTGAGGTGGCTACCAAATCAGATGGTTACCGACGCAAATAGTAATCAATCAGTTGGTTAATTACCTTATTAATTGTAATAAAATGTCACATATAGAATGAATCATATTTGACGTGGTAATTTTCGGTTAAAAATGTATTCGGCAATACGGAAATCAGCGATATTTATGGTCGGCGAAACAGGAATTCGGGGAAGTTGAGATCAGCAAAAATCGTCGTTGACGAAAATAGAAATTACCCAAAACATGACCGAACGCATGATTCACCAAAAACAATGAAAAAGAAGTTACCAGATATAATAGAAAGATAAGTGGTTCATTAAATAACCTTATACATACTTGGAACATTTTCGAAGAACAAAAATGTGATAATCGGCATAGTGAATCAATCTAAAGTGTTGACGACTCATGTAAATGTGTGTTGTTTTATGTAACTATCTTCATCATCAGATTTATGTTTGTATTCACTTATCTGATAAGAAAATTTTATCTTGAATATGTTGAAACATAGTCTTAGGGCTCATTGCGACAAAAAAGCTAACAAACCCCATAATTGTTTGAAAATATCAACAATTGCATAAAACGTACAGGGTGTAGGTGTGGGCTGGACTTGGGTGTACGGGTGGGTCTGGATCTGGGTGTGGGTGCGGGTGTAGATATCCTCCCCACCCACTCCCACCTTCCCACCCACACCCCACACCCACGCCCACACCCCACACCCCACACCCCACACCCACACCCACACCCACACCCATCCCCACACTCCCACACCCTCAAGCTCACGGAATTTGTTGAATAGCTCTGCATAAAAACAAGCAACTTAGGTCAAGCTTTAAGTATTAAGTAGTACAGAGAGTTATTTTCGAATCCATTTGTCTACGAATGGCTTATTGGATGAGTAGAGATTTCTTCGATGTCTTAAGCGGAAACAATTCATCTTTGCGGTCGATTTTCACTCGACTTTCCATGAACGCCAACTCAAACTTGATCTAATTTTCGCTACAATCAGTTTTGTAGTATATAACTATCCTGTTTCAGCATAGTTCGCTTCGAAAACCATTTGAGAAGAGTGATAGAACTATTTGAAAGTTTACAGCGAAACCAAAGTAATATTGCTCTGACTGCAATCTGGTATGATTTGAGTTGATATTGTTGTGGAATTCGGCTGAAACCAACATCAAAGAGAGTTTCTATCTGAAGATGATTTCCAAGAAAGCACTTCTACGTAGTTCAATAAATTCTACATAGACAAATGATTTCGAAAACCACTGCCTTCACTACATAATTATAACTCTAACTATAGGTGACACTTTAGCTTTAATTTAGCGATTAAAGGTTTCCTTTTCTTTCGAGATTAAAATGAGATATCTAACATAACACCTTATTTGGAAGCTGCTTCATGCCTACATTCAATTATACAATTAACGTCCAATGCAAAAGTAATGGCACAAATCTCGATTCATTTTTCTCTTCGTTAGAAAGATGCTGGAAGAAAACCTATTTTACCAAAAAAAACGTTTTTTCTCCTCTTTCGAATCGTATATAACATATTCACAGACAAAACAACGTAACAGACAAGAAAAGTACCCTTAAAAAGCATCAGCACTTTTTGTGGGATCTAGAAAAATGTCGCAAAATGTTGATTCCTATTTGTTTTCTATAAATAGGCTCTGAAGAGAATATTTTTATATTAGTCGATAGGAAATTTTCTCTTCTTTCGAACAGTATATGATATATATTAGTTATACATTCATCAATGAAATGACAGAAGTAAAAAAGAGAATCACTCGCACAATATATTCGTAATTTTTACATGAAGTAGTCAAAAACCTCTCGTTAGCCAGTAATTAATTTGATGTCTGCGAACTCATTAAAAAGAGCTTGTATAATGCTGCTTACTTTGGCTTTTATGAAATTGATAAAGACATCTTGTAAAACGATAGTTTATTATAATTAATTATCATCCACAAGATGTTTTTGACGAGTTCATTTAAAAATTACAAGTTTATTGCGTGAGTGCTTCTTCTTTTTCTTATCTCATTTCATTTATGAATCTGTGACAAATATAAATCGTACGCTGTTCGAAAGAGGAGGAAATTTCCTATCAAATGGTATAAAAATATTCTTTTCAGAATCTGTTAATCGAAGAGATATAAGGATTGACATTTTGTGCGGTTCTTTTATGGAATAGTGCAGATTCTTTTTAAGAGTACTTCTCTTTTCTGTTGCGTCGTTTCGTTTGTGAATGTGTTATAAAAATAAGTTAGATATGTTTCAAAAGAGGAGTAAAGACACTGTATCTTTTGGTAAAAAAAAGAGTTTTCATTCAATAGCCTTTTATCAAAGAGAAACAGGGATCAACATTTGTGGCATTACTTTTGCATCATACGTTATTTGATTGAAAAATTAAAACATAATGACATGATAAAAACTTTAAGTTTCAAACTAAAGTCAAAGTGCCATTTCTAACTCCAGCTCGACGTTTTTTTTTGTAAAACCTCATTCGATAAATTGTACCAGTCTTATCAGTTGAAATAGGTGTTGATGTATTGTAATAAAAGTTTGTTCACATGTGACTTTAACAAACATTCAAAAGCCTCATGTGATTTCTGACTCGAAGTTACATTTATCCCATCATTCTTTTCAGACTACTGTTGTGGTAAAAAACCATGGTGATCGTTACCATGTAATTGCTTTGTTTATGGCCATCCATCCTTAACAAGATTTTTCTTGTGTTGTCATATTTTTCGCTGCCTAAAAATTGTTCGGCAGTCAAAACTTCTTTCCAATAGACAGTTATAAAGATCCTCAGACTATTGAGCTCACAAAATGGTAGATGTGACTGCGTACAATTTTCTAGTATTTTCATGATTTTCTATTTCTTTGTCACGACGATAGCTACGTAAAAGTAAAACTAATGTCCTATCCTAGAGAACTTACAATACTTTCTCCTCGATTTAGCAGTTA